AGTTCTTCCCACTTGTTCGGTATCATCTCGTTGCTTCTAGTAGATTTAACAATGCATGGAGCAGAATGGTATATAAAGATTCATGTAGCCACCCCAAATTTAGTAGGAATAAGGATTAGTTTGTTGTTTGTTGTCGGTTACAAGTACTAATGCAAGTGTTTTCACTTAAATAGACAAAAATGGGAATGAACGTTGATTTTGAAGCTTCTTTGCAAGTTCTTCAGGGGTTTGATACTGATATTACCCTTGAGGTTAATGAAATCAAGGTACATCTTTTTATGACTGATTTATAAAGATTGCGTAAGTTTACATTTCAAGTAAAACAGGAACACAATGTTACTCCCTTTACAGATCAAGTGATAAATCAAATTAAATTTCCTTTCTCATTAACATTTAAATTACTTGTGCAAGTAAGAAATTTTATTTTTGATAATCAGCGGACGGATCCTTACAATGCATATCTGCTTATGCGGCATAACTGTCATATTAATGTCAAATATGCTATCGACTGAAGCCTGTTAAGTATTTATATAAAAATATCTACAAAGGTCATGACAGAGTAGTTGTCCATATTTCAAAATATGATGATGCTAACGTCATAAATGAAATACAAGAGTTTCAATATGCAAGATGGGTTTTTACATAAGAAGCTTAATGGAGAATATATGAATTTCGATTAAACTCCCCACCAGTAATAAACTTACAACTTCATCTTCCTATTTAACAATCTATTTCATATTTGAATATCCAGAACATAGCCCAGGTTGTTTATTCACATTATATCACAATAACAATGTTGACGGAGTATTTTGAAATGTGTAAAAAATATGTCATAACAAAAAAAATATTTTGTATAGAGTTTTCAGAATGTTTTGTATGGGACAAAAGATATCGAAAGTGGTCAAAATGAAAAAAGGACATGTGACCTCTCTCATTGCGACGGTAAATCCTGGTGAAGGAGAAAGATATTACTTGTGATTACTATTGAACCATGTGAAATGACCTACCTCTTTTTGACTTCTTGCTAACAACTAACAGAGTATAGTATTCATCATTTAAGGAGATAACACAAAAAAAGAGATATTTTGGAATATGATTATAGCATTATTAAATGTTTGGATGAAGCAGTCACATTTCAAACGTATTTCGAATTTTGAAGACTTTTTTCCATATTATTGGACCTACTGGAGTAAGAAAATTGTGGGACATATATTTTGAAGACTTGACAAAAGATTTCAGAAAAGATATCGAAGAATCATTAGAATAATACAATCAATTAGCTTTATGAGATACACATTTTTTCCTCCAATATGTGGAGAGACTATTAATGCATATGACTTGCCCGTCTTATTGATACCTTCCCTGGTAACAATGAACCCAATGTAAGCGAAATTTTAGACGAACGTTTTATCGAAGTTCCAAATAATTATATTCAAGCAGCATCATATCTAAATCCAGGTGAAAAAAATATGCTTTTGATGTTATACTCAAAAGAATTAGTAGTGAAAATGGAGGTTTATTTTTTGTCGATGGGCCTAGCAATATAGAAAATACCTTTTTATATTGTGCTTTATTGACAAGGGTTCAATATCAGAAGATGATAGCACTTATGATATTAACGCCAGGTGTAGCAGCATCAATAATGTTAGGAGTCAGAACCACACATTTGAGATTCAATATTTCACTCTGGACTAATGAATCAACAATGTGTAGGATATCAAGGAAAAATACTACAGCAAAATTATTTGACAGGTGTAGCTCATAATATGGGATGAAGCACCAATGAACAACAAAAACATAATAGAAACCATAACCTTTAAGAGATATCTTGGACAATTCATAACCATTTGGTTGAAAGATTTTTGTATTTAGATGAAATTTTTACCAAGTACTACCTGTTATTCGAAGAGCAACAAGACAACAAACAATTAACCAAAGTTCGGTTAGATCTTATCTATGGGAGAAAATGGAAAAGCTGTAACTAAATCAAAACATACTTGCTTAAAATGATAATCGATTTGTGCAATATTTGATCCAAATTGGTAATGGAATATAATTTTACATAGAGGATGACTTCATCAACTTACTAAAAGAGATAGTTATAGCATGTGATGAAGTTGAAACTTTGGAGTTATCTTAATAAATGTGGTATTCACAATTTCAACAAAACAATGTAGCTTCTTTAGATTATATGACACAACATAAAAAAATTTCAACAAAAATGAGTATGCTTTACTACCTCAATGATAAATATTAAGTTATTTCCTTAAAAAATTGAAGAATTTGTTAGTCTTGATGAAGCAATATATGATACAAACCAATTTTATAAAGAGAAGTTTCTAATTACATTGTTGCCAAATGGTATCCAATCGTATAAGTTAATTTTTTAAAAAAAAGTGTCCAGTGATGCTCTCAAGGAACATGGACCCATCCAACTATTTTTGCAGTTGAACAAAAATGATTTGTCGTGATTTCAAGAGATATATTATTCATGCGAAAGTAACTATTTTATAATATGTTGAAAAATAAGTTTTCCTTTTGTGCATTCCAATAACTCCAGCAAATGATGAAGTATATCCATTCAAATTCAATAGAAAACAATTTTCAATACAACTATACTTTGTAATAACCATTAACAAGGTTCAAGTACAAACAATGCCTACTATTGAATTGTACATTCCTAAACATGTATTCTCTTATGGACAACGATATGTTGCACTCTTTTATGAAATTTCAATGAAAACAACAAAAGTCTTGATAAAAAAAAAGACGAAGAAAAATGAAAAGTAATGAGATGTTTGCCACATTTAGTTATATTCAATGTTATTTTGGCTAGAGTATAGAAACTGAGGATAAAAAGAGGGCAAATCAAAGTCTTCTTATTTCTTAACAAGATAACCTTAAATTCAACGATGACTTAGCACTGAGAAAAAGATAAGCAAATTTTAGGAAAATAATGAAATTACAAGAAGGATAAGTCTACATGTACAAAATCAACTACAGAATTTTCTACAGCCTGCTGACGTGGCGTCAAAAAATCGTCCAAGGCTTTGACTACAAAATCTCATGACATTTTCAATTAAAATCAACATGCACCTTTTAATTAAAGAAACCCAGATGAAAAATAGACACACACACACACACTCTCTCTCTCTCTCTCTCTCTCCACTCACAATTTGTCGCCCCTCGAAGATAACTCTCCGGCGACGATCTGCTCCGTCTGAAGATAAATCTCGGGCAACCTTGCCCCCCGTACGAAGACCTCTCGTCAGCGACGCGACCAAGTAAGTTTTTGTAATTTTTCGTATTTGGAATCTGTGGAGTATATTTTAGAAGCAATTTTCTTATAAATCTGAAATGTGGAAGCTATTGAGATGGATTTTGCTAGATTTGTGAGGGGTTGGTCGAAATGTGGAGTGAACTAGGATTTGTGAGGGGTTGGTCGACCGAGATTGAAGAATTTGCAGTCCCAAGTGAACAGCAATATACTTGAAATGCCGTTTTTTTTTCCTCAATTAGTTATGGAATGAGTTGAAGGGGTAATATTTTTGTGAATGAAACTTGCTTCAATTTGTTCATCCTGCTTGACTCTATTCATCCTGTCAATTTATTCATCCCCAAGTGAATTGCTGACTCCCAATTAAAGAAAGTTTTCAGAAGCATTCCTTATGTTTCAGCACTTACAAGAAACAAATAAAATCTATTAAGGGAAGTGCCTTTCATCAGAATTAATTTATAGTGTTTTCAAGAAATATGTACTAATTAAGCTCCTGTAAATCGTGTACATAGTTCTTGAATGGATTATAATTCACAATTTATTTTGAAAGATTGAAACCTGGAGAAAATGTTGAATGATTGGTTATAGTCATTTTCATCCTACTTCAATTTATTCATCATGCTTCAATTTATTCATCCTGTAAATTTATGGTGAATGAAACTTGCTTCAATTTGTTCATCCTGCTTGACTTTATTCATCCTCTAATCCTGTAAATCGTGTACTTAGTTCTTGAATGGACTATAATTCACAATTTATTTGGAAGGATTAAAACCTGGAGAAAATGTTGAATGATTGGTTTTAGTCATTTTCATCCTGCTTCAATTTATTCATCTTGTAAATTTATGGTGAATGGGTAATGTTATTCATCCTGCTTGAATTTATGATGAATCAGGATTGTTGATGGCTGGGAAAAATAGAGGAATCTGTCATTCTTGCAGGGGGGTAGGACACATGATGCCGGAATGTCCAAAAAAGAGGAAATGCCCGAATTGTGGAGAGGGTTTTGTTAGATGGTTGGAGGTAGAAAAAAATTCAAAGAATCAGGGGAAGTTGTTCCATTCTTGTACCCGCGACTGTAAGTTCTTCAAGTTCTGTAAAGTTTCGCCCGACGAAGAGTATCCATTGCAAGGTGAATCAAGTGGTACAACAAAAGGAAGTGAATCTGTCCATGATTTGTCTCGTATGTTGAAAGTGTGTGCAAAAATAACTGAGGAGAGGGACTTGGAGATTTCTCTTAACATCACCATGCGCAAGGGAAAACGAGCTTCGGAAGATTTAATATGAATTATGTGACTACTTTGGTGTGTTGTTTGATATCCCTGTGGTGTATGTTCCTCTTTTCATTAACAAGACTGGATGCTAGCAATTTGTAAGCAATTTTATTTGTAAGACTGGATGTTAGCAATTATATTTGACTAGAAACTTTCTGTTATTTGTAAGCATAAAATGGAGCTTCAGAAGCAAAATGAAATGGATCCATACCTATTTAATCAACAATTACATAGCAATGAACATAATGGTGCACAATTTAACAAATGAGATCCACAGGTGATTTTCCAAACTAGCTCCAATCCAAATACATTAAAACTTTCCAGATTACAAGCAACCACAAAATGTAGGAGAAAACAAAAAACTATCACTCCTGTCTTCTTTGCCTGTTTCTCATCAAAACTATCATAGCATCCACATCAAGCATTTTTTTTTCTTCTACATATTTTGTACGTTAAATCAAATCAAAATCGCCTATGCTCTCTTGTGTGCCGACATGTTGAGAAGGGAAGGTGTTCGTCATCCAAACTTCCTACAAATGAAATGAATAACGTAAATTACAAAAAGTGACAACCACGAACTTAGCTATGTTGGTAAATACAAATCTATTGCTCAAATACCTGAACATTGATTGGAGGCGGAACTTCATCTTTTCGGTGTTTTTTCGATGCACTTGAGTTCGATCCCACCTGCAAAACATGGAAAAAGACAATCACAAACAAGTTCAATCCCACCTAAAAAATAGGTAAAACATAAAATTGGCTCCCTTTTTTATACCTTACGACAACTTCTTGATTTTTTAGAACTAGTCTCTAGATGTCCCTTCCGACGAAGTTTTTTAGGAGCTCCCTTACTCTTTGTATACTTTGGGTCGAGTATGATCCCGCTAGCGCACTTTCCGGATTCACCAATACATTTCAAGCCCACATTTGCTGACGTCAACATCGATGCCTCTATTGTTTGGCATTCAATCCACTCCACAATCCCATGTGATCGAGACTCGTCATGTGCTACCAAATCAGCTAACTTTGTAAAGGCATTGCACATTTGCTCGTATCTAACTTGGTCCGGAGTACTAATCCAACCATCGTAATTGATCGGCACCCTAGTGTATGGTCTGCTAACATCTTTCCTCCATCTACGTAATACGTACCTCTCGGGAATTAATTTCACCTGATTTCGGATCATAACTGTAATCGCGTGCTTGCAAATAATTCCTCTGAACTCAAACAAGTGACAACTGCACTCGAACTCACATTCATCCTTACGCATGCGCACTTTAAACATAGTTGTCCTCATACAGTCATTGACAATAACATCTTCGCGTACGTCATACGTAGTATGCATGTAAGAATCGTAAGCATGTAATACTTCACAATATACCTTTCCAGTAAACTGTTCTTGGAATTCCTTGAACTTCGCGATTGTGTAAACTTCTTGGAATTGCTTCTCCATTTCGTACTTCGTCGCACATGGGACCATTTGGGAAAATGATTTGAAGTCAGCTTGAAACTCCTTTTCAATTTTACTTCTCAATGCACGCTCATACTGCTCAACAAATTGCTTTAGGGATGTTTTGGAATGAACATATCCATCAAAAAATGCGTTAATACCCTCACTTCGTTGTGTGGTTGACATACCCGCCCAAAATGAAGTTCTCAAATAGCATGGCACCCATCGACTTCTTTCATCGTATAGACCCGTCAACGAAGCATGTTCGTGCAAATCGTAATCTTCGAGCATCTTATTCCAACCTTGCTCAAACTCCTCACAACTTTGCACATCATACACCAACCAATGCACAACATGAAAAATAGAATATTTATGTCTATGTCTGCCGAATTTTTCAGGTAACTTTTTTAGAATATGCTACAAGTACCATCTATGCTTTGTGTTCGGAAACACGATTTCAATTGCATTTTGCATGGCTAATGCACAACATGAAAAATAGAAGCTTTGTGTTTATGCCCGCCGAATTTTTCAGGTAACTTTTTAAGAATATGCCACAAGCACCATCTATGCTTTGTGTTCGGGAACACGATTTCAATTGCATTTTGCATGGCACGATCTTGATCTGTAATTATTCCATTTGGTGCTTGGTCATACATACATTGAAGCCACGTCCTGAATAGCCATACGAAGGTCCTTGTGTCCTCATTTGAGACCAAACCACATCCTAGAAGAGTTGATTGTCCATGATGGTTCACCCCAACAAATGGAGCGAATGGCATTTCGTACTTGTTAGTCAAGTACGTGGTGTCAAATGTAACTATATCACCGAATTCCTTACACGCTTGCCTGCACCTGTTATCAGCCCAAAATACGTTCCTTAGTCGAGCATCGTCATCCAAATCTATGCTGAAATAGAAGCCAGGACTAGTTGCTTGCATCTTGGAAAAATATGCTTGTATTGCAGCTGCGTCTCCTTCACCAAGCCTTAAACGCCGGACTTTATCAATGAAATTCCTACAATCTTTCTCAACGCATGTAATCTTATCATACCCACCGGCTTCAACTACGGCAGAGTTAAAACTTTTGTGCAGTGGTATTCTAGCAATGTCATTTATTTCAAGCTGTCTTTTCACGCGTGCACTAATCTGGCGGTTGCATCGATATAGCCTTGATTTCGATGGGCTCGTTCTATGATTGTGCTCCAAATGGACAGTGTTAATACGCCATGCTCCAGTAAGTTCAGAACATGCTGACAATCTTGCTTTACAGCCAGTTTGCATGGTTGGTTGAGGCTTCAGAACTTTATTTGTGCCAATTGTTCGACTGCCTTCCCGACTACAAGTAAAAGTCACGTAACGTACAACCCCGTCATCACCCTTCTTTGAATTCCTTTTTCGCACAGGAAAACCGATTTGGTAAGCGTAGTTCTTATAAAATTCAAACACCTCATTTTCATCTTTAAACTTCATTCCAACGGCGGGCACAATAATTTCCATTTCTTCACCTACGCTTGTATCATTCGGATCGTCCTCTTCGGAAGAAGTCATTTGCAAATAACCTACGTTGACGAAAAATAGACAATAATCAATTTAAGTGAATCGGTTAAGGAAGTACTTTTCACAAGACTCATTGCGAGTCTATGGATAATAACACGTGTATCATGCTAATGACACTAGTTTTAAATTGCAAAATTAAACATTTTTAATCACTTTTAGACGAGTGAAAATAGTAAAAAAAAATCATATAGATAGACCTAACATAGTGCTTTACGCATAAACACATAGAGTGGGGAAAAAATTAGATTTTCAAAACTTAGGTGTCCACACCCATGCAAAGCCCATGCAAGGTGTCCACCAACCAACCTGCTCCATTTTGTCAAAACCCATAATTTCCCCATTTTACCCTAAATTGTGATGACAGAATTCTACTCATAATCTGCTTCTTTCCAAATATTGTCAAAACCCATAACTTGTAGAATTCGACACTTGAAAATTATGGGTTTCCAAGATTGAAACATGGAGAAAATGCTCAATTCTAAGTTTACTGGTAAACTTGAAAATGTTGTCAAAACCCATAACTTGGAATCTCATACTTAGTTTACGCATAAACTTGAAAATGTTGAATGATTGGTTACCCATGTGGCTGTCGGCGTTGAGCTTGCCGGACTGGAAGTTAATATTTTCAATTTCTTCGACCGCATCATCGTAAAAGCCCAGATTTTCACGCGCGCAAGGTGGAAATAACGTCGTTGGGTTCGGGTTCAATCTCACTTCTACGCCGTCGTCGAAGTTGCAGGCATCATCGATTCGATTTTGCCATGATTTCATTTTACGCGACCAAGGGTTCTTCACTTGTTCTGCGCACACAAATTTGGTACTAAAGTGAAATGGGGAAAGAAAGGCTAAAAGAAAGGCTCCTTTTGTAAGTTTTTTGTCCTTTTACCTGTTTTATTATTTTTTTATTTTCAACCTGCCGAGATTTTGACTTATCAAACCCATTCGCCACGTCAGCAGATTGTAGACAATTCTGTAGTTAGTTTTGTTATGTATCGGAATATTTAGGGTTCATTTGATTTGTGTTTCACGAATTTATTTTAAGAGTCTATTTTAAGAGTTTTGAAAATTCGTTTGAATTATCATTCTGAAAAACTTATTTTTCAAAGCTAAAAACTGAAAAATACGTTTAATTTGAAGTTTTGAGAAATTGTTCTATGACATTTTATTCCATTAATATGATAATCTAATAAAGTAAAATAATTTTATGTTAATATATTAACAAACAGGCCCTAATGCCATCTTTCTCTAAAAAAAATTCTTCTAGTGAAATGAAGTATTTTCAGAAAAAATATACAAACATGTTCAAAAACAACTTCTTAGTTTTATAAGCAACTTTTTACTTTTCAACCTTGCCAAACGGGCCTTAATTTATGTAATCAAGCCTTTTAATATGAGCTTAAAGGCCTTATTGGTTGTAACTAACTTAACAGAAATCAATGTTGCTTATATAACTAACTTATCAACGTTCTTATCACTTCCCACTATTTCTTTTTTCTCTCTCACTCTAAAGCTCTAATAGGAGAAACTCCAGTAAGCATACAGTGTTCCTTTCTTTCTCTACGGAAAAACCCTCCGAGTTGTCCTTTCTCTTTCTCTCTCCTCATTCATTCAAGGTACAAACCCACGCAGAGAGGAAGCTTGCATGCATGTTTAGGTAGAAGGGAGATTTCAGCTTTGTGGATTTTCATTTCTTTTTGGCAGGTTGGTTATTGAGCGGAAGCGAGCATGTCGTCTTTGGAAAAAAATCTGTTGTTTTGGATACATCAGTTTCTTGGTAAAAAGAATTTCAAAAGAACTGTTCACGAGTAAGAATTCAAGTTTATATATAACATTATTTTGGGGATTTTTTAGTGTTTTGATTGTCAAGAAAATTGGGAAATTACCTATTAATTATAGATCAAAACAGCTGGGTTAGATAAATTCAGACTGTTAACAAGCAAGGATTCGATTTTCTATATTTAATTTTACTTTCATTCTCATTTATGGAAATTTTTAGTTTTCCGATTGTTGAGATAATTGGGAAAAAAGATTCTTTTTAGGATCTTTTGTATGATTCCTTAGCTTAATTAATTCACTAAAGAAACATGGTGTTCTAAAATTCAAGATTTGTTTATAAAAATTATATGTTTTTCTGCTGAATATTGTTGATATGTTGGGGGATCTTTTGTATAATTGGGGAATTAATGGTTTAACTCTTCGTGGTGATTTAAGATTGGAACAAGAGTCCGGAATCTTCTNTTAGTTTTGGAACAAGAGTCCGGAATCTTCTTCAGTATGCCCTATTTCCAGGACAGGGTAACAAATGGGGATTGGGATGAGGTGGAAAATTACTTATCTGGGTTTACAAAGCCAGATGATAACACAAATTCCACGTATATCTTCACGATGATCCGACAACACAAGTACTTAGAAGCTCTGGACAGGTGATTTATTTCTTGATATCATTGAATATTTTGTCAGCTTTCAGTATTCATATTCTCATGAATTCATATGATTTTGATTGCATAATTGTAGGAAAGATCGGACTAAAGCTTTTGACATTTTAATGAAGGAGTTGAAACAAATTTTAGTTGGTAATAAAGGCCATTTTCAATATTTAACTCGGCTTTACTTTCTTGAAAACGTCAGGTGAGAGAGTAGTCATACTTTTCTTGGTGGTCATTATATCTTCTTTTATGGGAGTTTGCATTGATTTATCTTCAAGAATGTTGATTTGATACAATGACATGCAGGGAGGATGAGAAAGTATCCAAGTGTGGAGACCTAATTAACGCTAGGGGTAACATGTTTGCTTTTGTTAAGAAGCTTATAGAAGTAAACCCCATGTTCCGTGATAAGCTGAAGCTCCCCACCTTCAAACACTCAACATTGACACTAAGGTTTGTTCTTCCGTATTTGTATACCAGCATATTCTTTCAGGTTGAGATAAACATTGGCACTTTTCCTCTGTGTTGGCTTGCAGTTTGAACTCGCAGAATCATTTGGCTGCTGTTCCAGCTTCACAGTCCAATAGTGCTGTAACTAGTCTGCTTCAGCAGGCTGTTCCTAAGCCTGCGGAATTCCCACCTGTAAGCTTAGCTAAAATAGGCAAGAAAAATGCTTATTCATTGGGGGTTGTTTTAACTATCAAGAGATGTCAAATTGACTTTTTGTCCTTTTTTGCGAAGCCATTTCAAGCTCCAGGTCCTGTGTCAACTTCTCTTCTGGGATGTGTGACTAATGCATCATCGGTTCCCCAACCTTCAGCTAGTTATCCATCTTCAGTACCTCGCCCTTCAGCTTCTGCATGTCCAATTGGTTTCAACACCCAAAATAATTCTGGTATTCATAAATTCTTACTTTTCCATTAGTCTAAAGCGTGGAAGTGTATGTTGATAAAAATGTAAAAAGATAGTTATTTCTCCACCCTCCCCCAGTCCCCCTGTCTGTTTGTTACTAGCTCTTAACTCATAACTTGCACCTTTTCACTATGCTAACTTAATTTCTAGCAGATATTTTGAAGCAACCTACAACTCCTATAAATAAACCAGATGTGGACAACCAAAATGATCACTCTGAACTAGTCTTGAAGGGAACAAAGCGATTGGAAATGTAAAATGAAGTATGGATATACCATCCTAAATTCCTAATATTATCGTTGTCAGCCTCTTTCTAGGAAATAGATACTTTCTTGGTTTCTTAGAGTTAAAAGCTTCGACATATTGGACACCTTGGTCCGTCATGTTGGTTTACAGTTTATGTTTTCATCTCCCACTGTAAGTACAATTGATGGTTTTAATGCTACTACTAGATCAAACATTGAGGATCGAGTTTCTCCAGTAACATCCACAGTTTCAATGGTATGCTGCTTTCAAACTTTTAAGATGGATAGCATCTTTGACACAATGATTGCATAGCAATTTTGCAAATTTTTTATTTAGGCGTGCATAACATAGGTGCATTTCATAAAAATTCATAAGATAATAGCTCTTGCCTGCACTACTACGACTTTTCAGTTTACATTATATAATCCTCACTTTTGTATCAATTTCTTGTAGAACGAAGATAGGCAAAATTTGGTAGATGGGAAGCCCGCAATTGCAGGTGAGCCCTCCGTGAAATCTAGATCGCGGAAACTGACAGAAGTGAACGAGCCATCAGAATGTCGTTTCCTGAGACTTCCAGATAGTTTGGTGGCGACGAGGGTATTAGTTAACTCTGCCCTTGATCATTTAAAATGCCTCGTTAGATTTTTGCCTAGATATTAATTTGGTGATCCCCCCCTCTCTCTCTCTCATATATTGAGATATAATGCATAGCTCATAATTTATGAGCATGGTCATGTGGATAAAAAGTAATCAGAGTGTTTTATATGAAAATAGAATAAAAATAATTCAACTGCTTAAATTGATTGTTTGATAATATAATGAGCACTATTTTAGGTGCTAGCATTAAATGAGCCATAAATCGTTGTATTTAATTGAAAATATAATTTAATGATACAAATACGGCCACCTAGACTCGTGTTAAACTTCTGTGATTCTGAATTGCATTACTCAATTTATTCAGTTCCATTTCCAACACTAAAAATTCATCACAATCAAGTTTCTATCAATTCTGTGCTTTGTCTAAGCAACAGACCTCCAGTTAGCTTAAGGTATTGCTGAAAAACACGCAAGATGAAGAAGAAACTTTGAAGTTGTTTGTTAAAAAAAAAAAATTATTTTCTTTACCTTGACAATTCTTGTAGCTAACTAGTTTTTCTTTAAAAATTTCTTACAGTTTCAACACTTATTTCTGGTTTGTGATTCTAACTCTCACTTGGTGAGGCCATTCCATTCAAGATTGATGTATACCAATTCAGGATCTGCCATACTGGCTCTATATGTTAATGCTGTACATAAACTCTGGAAATGGCCAGAAAATGACAGTAATTCAACGGGGAAGTTATATCGGTACCACTATTACACTGGAAAGCTTCCCAGATTCCATTATTTCTCATAAAAACAGCAGTATCTTCTTAATGCAATTCAATTCTTGTAGGCAAGAGCAAATGTAGTGCCTCAATTATGGCAACCTCGTAGTGGGATATTGATGACCAATGAGACTAGTGGTGTGAATCCGGAACATGCTGCTCCATGCTTTGCTCTGTACAATAATGATCAGTATCTTATGTCGTCATCAGGAGGGAAAATTTCCTTTTTTAAAATGGGGACTTTCAAAGTAAGTGGCTTTTGTTCTGCTCATCTCATGCATTTAAAATGCTGAATCATATATAGGCTTTTTTTTTCTCATAATTCGTTAAAACATAATGAAATGAGTTTGATATGAGATGAGAGTTTCTGACCAAACAATTTATTCTCTTTCATAGACACGAGTTGCACTCAATGTGGTTACCCTCTTAACTTGCTTGTTATAACATTTTTGTTCTATCAACAGACAATGAAAACAATCATGCCCCCTCCACCTGCAGCAACATTTCTGGCACTTCACCCCCAAGACAATAACATCATAGCAATTGGCAGGGATGATTCATCTATTCAAATATATGATGCCATGGTTAATGAGGTAGTAAATAGTAGTGAACTTCTGGCTTAGCTTAAATTTGTGAATCAAACATCTTAACGAGTCAAGCCATGTTATCATCACGTTACCTTTGTAACAGGTCCAAACCGAGCTCAAAGCTCATCAGGAAAGGATAACTGGCCTTGCCTTCTCTAATATTCATAATGCGCTCGTGTCTTCAGGAGCTGATTCTCAGGTAAGCAGCTTGAGTCTCAGATGCTTCTACA